GTTGAGAAGATTTTGAAATGTAGTTCCCATGGCAACAGGCTCTGAGGTGACATAAATCCAAAGGAACTTTTCTTGGTTGTTCTATCATCCAAACAAGAATCCTCTAAGGTTCCTAGAGAAAAGTCAACTTTTAATGAAGCTTGGGTCTTCTTTGCTGTCTGTGCCCCATGGAGCTCTTTTCCTGTGGGTCTTATTTCAGGTTTGTAATAATGATTTATTTTCTTTAATTGTGAGTTGCTTACAGTAGGAATGAGAGCAGGGATTGGGATTTATTGTAATCACCACAGCAGTGGCAAATTTCTAAGTGTAAGATTTGTGCTTGAGGCCTTGAGTGATTAAATATATATCCCTCGTGTGAAAGACAGGCAAGCAGTGGGAATGCACAAATGTCATCCAACACTCACACAAGAAGACATGAGCACACACACAGGACTGATATAGGAGTTGTAATTAGCTTGCCAAGTGGAGGACAGACAGCTGCCAAAGCAATTCTGATTACAAACCCACCACATGATGACTTCAGCTGCCCCATCCCCACCAAAATGTACCTCTCATCAATTGAGTGCCGTTTCAAATGTTTTTTTGGTTATAGAATTTGACTTCATTAAAAAAATAATTTCTGGAAGAAGGTGTGGAATGTGGATGATCCCCAACAAGTCCTTCATAGACTGTGTTGATGAATTTGTAAGATCTTTCCTGAGAACTGCTTTTGACAATCAAAGGTAGAACAAGCATTAGGACTGTGTGTGTTTGGGGAAGAGGAATTTTTGCCAAGACTAGAAATGGGCACAGAAAGAGAAGCGTGGAAGCTGTGAAGGAAACCTCACCTGACTTCATAATTTGGCCTTTGTGGTATGGTTATTTGAAGAATAGGTCATTCATGGTGGGACAGGAAGTAGGGACAGGTGAAATACTCAAGGATCCTGATCCTGTTTGTGGATTAAGTTATGTTGGAGAGTTGGGTCTTAGATAAAGTTTTGAAGAAAAAACATTATTCCCAAATTTATCTTATTTCCAGCAATCAGCTCTCCTCTTCCTCCCTTTATTAGCTTTTCTCTTGCTCCTTTCAGGCTCATCTAGCTCTTAGAAGCTTTTTCTTCCCCTCATTCCCTCCCAAAATGATATATATTTTATGTATGTTTTATGTATATTTCCTATAACATTTATTGAGGTTCCTCCATGTGTCAGCCTCTTTGCTAGGCTCTTCCATTTTATGATTTAATTTAACCTGCACAACAAACTATGGACTATTATCATTATCCCCATTTTACAGATGAGGAAGGTTGAGAATATGAGATTAATAAGTGTTTTATGAGCTGCTGCAAGCCAGGTTTGATATTTGGTTTTAAAGATATACACATGGATAAACCTAGTTCCTATCCACCACAGCTCATGGAAGTATATGGGTGATCACAAAGACAGCAAAACATCATGAGGAGAGCGGCAGTAGATCTAAGGACAAGCTACTATATGACTTTCTGGCTAATCTGCATGAGGGTATAAGCTGGTAATGATTTGATATCCTATTTCTTCTGGCATTTTGGCATTTTGCTCGGGCATACTCAAGACATACAAATTTTCTGAAACATGGAATTTCTGGTACTTGATAAATTTAGAGACTCTTATTTAGTTTCCTGACCTGGAATCAAACAGGTTTGGGTGAGGCTTCTTCCTCCCAGGTGGAGTAAGGTATATTTTGGTCAGACTTGCTCCAAATACTATCTTAGGAGCACCTTAGATGGGGTTTCCATAAAAAAGCTGTGCTGGGGACAAGGATTTGTGTGCATGTAGCTTATTTTTGGAAGTGACCTGAGGGAAGAGGAAGAGTGAAGCAGGGAAGGATGGGAAGCCAATCCAAGGTGGGCTATCGAGGTGTTTACCTTAATGGGAAATTCACAATCAATCCCTCTGAGGCCCCTTTGAGAATCAATGAAGAACAAAGCACCAGAAACACAGAAGAACAGAGCATTTATCCACTGACTCCCACGGGGGGTTACCTCCTTCATGCTTCCAGGTTTGCACATGCACCAGAGCGGTTGGGTGCATTCCGGCAGACAGCCTGTGTGTGGTGGCAGGGACATCTTAGGGCAGAAAGCAGGAGAAAGTGGTGCAGCTGGTGGATTGTGTTTTGACTGCAACTGCATGCAGCCAGCTGCCACGGCAACAGCAGAAGCCAAAAAGATAGGCTGAAATGAGGCAGAAACAATGTCTGACACAGAGAGCTTAGTGATGGGATGTGAACTCAGGGCCTTGTAAACATGTTCAGAGTGGACAGTAGATGACACCATGGCTATAAAAGGCAGGGGCCAGCCACATTATGTGTTTTGTAATGTGCTAAAACATTTAGAAAGGCCTTTTGCTCCATTTATCTCTTTCTCGTTCTGAAAGTCCATCCTTTGTCACTTTTCTTATTGTTGTGCTTTGAGTTAAAGCATCTTGCCTGAATTACAAGATAGAACATTGCCTGGAGGGACTATTGTATCAAGTCATTGACATCCAATAGCCTATTAGACTGATTGGTCTTCCTCAGCACACCTAATCATGTCATTCCCCTGGTCATGCCATTCCTCTGTTCAAAATGTTCCATGGATTCACACTGCATACACGTGTCTTGGCATTTAAGTTTCTCCCCAATCTGACCCTGGGGTGCTGTTCCAGGTTTGACGTCCAATTATGTCCTTTACTTGTACTCTGAATTGTAGTCAACCAAATCAAAGACCAGGTAGGCTTCTTCTGGATAGGCTAGAAAACCCCTCCAACTGGAGGAGTTAAAGATTCATGTTTTATTCCAGACTCTACCACCAACCAGCTTGTGACTGGTTGGGCTTCAGTTTTTCTGTCTGGAAGACGTAGGGTAGGAGGGTTAGATCAGTGAATCCCAAACCTGGCTAAATATCCCAATCACTAGGGATAGATTTAGAAGAAAAAAACAGATTATAAAGTCTTACATCTGGAGATTTTTATTTATTATGTTTATATTGGAGTAACAGAATATGTACTTTTAATATGCACAGATTTATCTGACTCAGTTGTATAGCGAGATTTGTGAACCACAGGACTAGATTTTAATATTGTTTCAAATCTATGAGACCCCAAAAATGTGAATTAGCTGTCACTGAGCTCAAGCAAGACTCTAAGAGACTGGGGCACAATGGATAACTTCTGTCATGAGGGAGAGTTAGAAAATGAGCAAAGTAAGCAAAACAGGGAAACAAACGTTGGTGGGTCTGGTGGGAAGAAGAGGGGTCAAGCTACAAGGCCATGAGAGTCAGCATGAGGGCACTGAGAGCCTCCTGAAGGACAGCTGACAGGATGGAGGACAGGGGCCATCAAGAATTCCAACAATTTAGCAATTTTGGAAAAATACGATCTTAACTGACAGGGTTTTCTCTTTACTGCCAAGCTCAAATTCCAAGAGATCACAGGGAGTTTCTGTTTCTCCTTGGACTAGATATCATGCAAATTCTGTGATAAACTGAAATTTAAGTAGTGTATGGAATGTCCTTCTCTGAACTTGAATAGCATTTTATTTTTACCTTTTCTGGATCTTATCATGTTTTTTCAGTAAAATAAGTTTGGTGTGTTCTAGCTTATCTTTTCCAGTAGAATGTCAGACCCCTGAGAGCAAGGACCGTGCTCATATATTTCATTATTTCCCATAGGAAGAGGTTAAACACAATTATTAAGAACAACAGATTTGGAGTAAGATGGACCTAGATTTCATATGGTCTTCGTAATTTAACATCTGGTGAATTACTGCATCTCTAAAATGGGAGTGATAAAACCTAGTTCAAAGGATTTGAGGGAGAATTAAAAGGAAGTATTGTATGTGAAATGGTATTGGATTCTGGCCTGCTGGAGTCAGTACAGAAGTGCTAGGACAGGAAGAATGTTTGGTATATATAGTAAGTGCTCAATTAATGGTAAGTTATCATTTTTGCACAAGACTTTGCATTTTACTGAATAGATGTTAATTGGACAAATAAATAATGTTTCTAAAAGCCCATTCAGATATTATCAAGGGTACAAGAAAATATTCCTTTTTTTTAAAAGTTAGTTTCTAGGGTCAGACTTGCTCCAAATGCTATCTCAGGAGCACCTTAGATGGGGTCCCGAGGGATCCTCTGACTTTCTACTTCTAATCAGGTCCCCAGATCCTTAAATCCAGAATAAAACTGCTCAGTCTCCTGTCACCAGATGGCACGGGTCTCCCTTCTACAAACTGGGAAACAGCCTTGGGGCAAAGCCTCCATCAGGTATCACCTTCTTTAGCTCAGAACAAATTCTAAGGCAGTCCAAATTCTGATCCTTCAAACAGAACAGGAGCTAAAATGGTCTGTGCTTAGTTCCTTTACCTGTGTTAGCACCACACCCATTTATCTGTCTGAACAATTGTGGATAAGAATTGGACTGAAAGGTGCATCATTAGGGCTCTAGGCTGAAGGAGGGTGAGCGACTGAATCTGGGCTGAACTTTTCATAAGTCCCCAACCTCAGGTAGTAAAGGCTTTGGGAAAGACCACCTCCCTTTTCTGTGCTGTCTGGGGTGACCATGAAGTGGAAACTCCAGGCACAGTTGGGCTGGCTCCAACCTCTGAGAGGACTCTCTCCAGATATTGGCTCCAGGTTTTATAATCTTGAGCAGAAGTTGGAGTTGGAAGGACACAATAATGGACCAAAGTAAAGACACGGGAGACTCCTCAGCTCATCTTTGAGACCATTCTTCCTGGCAGCATCTGCCCTCACCATGGAGAAAGGTCCATCCTCCAGAGGGTGCTCCAGAGGAAGAGTCCTTAGGAGGCCATGAGAACAGACCCACAGGTGTCTTGAGAGGCCTTTCTGCTGAAGTCCAAAATCTCTCTGTGTGGATCCAGTTCTCAAGAACGGGAGGTGACTGGGAGGAGAGAGGGGGGTCTCTGTCTCTCTGTTTCTCTCTTTTCTCTCTTTCTCCCCCTCTAAGAGACTCTTTCTCCTTGTTCCCATAGAATGCCTTTAATAAGAATGGGAGCTGAGAACTCCTCTGTGACAGAGTTTATCCTTGCAGGCCTAACCAACCAGCCGAGACTCCAGATCCCTCTCTTCTTCCTGTTTCTGGGTTCCTATGTGGTCACCATGGTGGGGAACCTGGGCCTGATAACCCTGATTGGGCTGAATTCTCACCTACACACCCCCATGTACTTTTTCCTCTTCAACTTGTCCTTCATAGATTTCTGCTATTCTACTGTTATCACGCCCAAGATGCTGATGAGTTTTGTCTTGAGAAAGAACATCATCTCCTATGCAGGGTGTATGACTCAGCTCTTCTTCTTTCTTTTCTTTGTCGTCTCTGAGTCCTTCATCCTGTCAGCAATGGCATATGACCGGTACGCCGCCATCTGTAACCCACTTGTGTACACAGCCACCATGTCTCTTCAGGTCTGCTTATTCCTCCTGTTGGGTGTCTATGTGATGGGGTTTGCTGGGGCCATGGCCCACACAGCATGCATGGTAAGACTGACCTTCTGCACCAACAATCTGGTTAACCACTACATGTGTGACATCCTTCCCCTTCTTGAGCGTTCTTGCACCAGCACCTATGTAAATGAGCTGGTAGTTTTTGTTGTTGTGGGCATTGATATTGGTGTGCCTACAGTTACCATCTTCATTTCTTATGCCCTCATCCTCTCCAGCATTCTCCGTATTCATTCTACCAAGGGCAGGTCCAAAGCCTTTAGCACCTGCAGCTCCCACATAATTGCGGTTTCTCTCTTCTTTGGGTCAGGGCATTTATGTACCTCAAACCATCCTCTCTTTTACCTATGAATCAGGGGAAAGTGTCCTTGTTCTACACCATTGTTGTGCCCATGCTCAACCCGCTAATCTATAGCTTGAGGAATAAGGACGTCAAAGTTGCTCTGAAGAAAACATTGAGCAAAAAACCATTCTCTTGAGAAAGGGGTAATACTTAGGAAAGGGCCTTTTCCCCTTCCTTATATGATTCAGGTTCCATTGGTTACTTGGAAATTTTAACTCTTTCTCAAAGAAGTTCATCCTTACCATTTTATGCATCCTTTAATTTAAGAAGATTCTTAAAACTATAGGGTACTCACCTTTAGTGGACCATAAGGATCATTTAATCAGTTCTCTCATATTTCTGAGAATAGATACAGGTTTATGTACCTTCTCCAAAGTCCCTCAGTTATTCAGCAGCACAACTGTGACTAGGATATAGGCTTTTGATTTCTTTTCTTTTTTTTTTTTTAATTTAAGTTCAATTAGCCAACATATAGTACATCATTAGTTTTTGATGTAGTGTTCAATGATTCATTAGTTGTGCATAACACCCAGTGCTCATCAGTAGGCTTTTGATTTCTAATACTAGTTGCTTTCCACTATGGTTCACTTTCTTCCTTCATCAGCACTGGAAGATTTCATTTCAAATGTGAACTGATCTAGGATGTTAAGATCTGGTTCTTTCTACAGAAATTTTGTGCAACTTTTCAAGGGCTAATTTTAAATACCACATTTTTGCAAAGAAGGTAGGAGGTATAAAACTTTGTTGAGATGGTCTTGGCTAAATGACCAAATTCTTGAAGAATTTTTCAGAGTACTTGGGGGAAGTATGCTAGGACCCAGACAGCAGCAAGCATGGTACCTCCTAAGACAGCGGTGTGGAGCCTCAGGGACTTGGACTTTAAAGGATTTGGTCATGCTGGCTGGATGACCTTATAGAAAATGTCAAGGTTATGAAGTACAGGATTTGGGAATTTTTTTATACACAATCATTTCCTTGTTTCAAATTGTGCTTTTAAAACCTGAGTGGAGAAGTCTGAAGCTCAGGGGTCAGCTAAAAATCTGGAGAATATTTCAGAACCATAGAGGGGTCATTGTGTTACAAGCCAGTAATTAGGTTAGTACCACACAGCAGCCAGTCAGCAGAGAAAATGACCACTGACTGTTAATGGTACTGTATGTGACAGAGACTATGTGAGGTATTCTCTGTGTGCCTCTCTAGATCAACTCTCTGTTTCTTTGTACCTTACTTCAAGTTCAATGGATCTTGTCAATGGGCTCCCTGACCCTCTGGTTTCTTCTGGTTGGGTGAAGCCAATGGCAGCATCAAGAGAGGAAATCAGAGGACAAGTGGAGCACAATATTGTGATATTTATTTCCCTGATTTCCTTCCAGTGGGCTACAGTAACTGCTCGGCGGGGAGCCTGCTTCTCCCTCTCCCTCTGCCATTCCATTTGCCGCTCCCCCTGCTTGTGCTCTCCCTCTCTCAAATAAATAAATGAATAAAATCTTTAAAAAAATACTCAGTGAAAGGAAGTCTTCCTTTACTCAATTTTCTGGTCCTTCTCTACCCTCTCCAGGGTCTGCCACTGTTGCTTGTTGGTTATATGTTTTAAGACAGTCTTTCTATGCACAGTATTTGTGTTAGCCAAGATGCAACAGTGAGTTCCTCAGGTCAGAGGGCTGAAAGCTATCAGCAGAAGTGGGGAGGTGGAAGGGACAAAGGGACAAAAGCAGGGAAGGAATATGATTTGTTTTGCAGAACAAGCAGTTCCTGACAAGGAAATGCCAGGCTAGGTGTTTCCTCTGATAGCATAGGCCAGTCTGAGCTGGTTTGGAGCTGAGGACCCATGCAGAAGCCCCCCCAAGTTGTCCTGAAGTTACCTTTAACTCATTATAATACTAAGATCTCTTATGGGCAGAGTTTTCCACTGTATTTTGAACATATGATGTATGCACTAGCACGTTGACATGCCAGGCATGTGCAGTTGAACCAAAGTGCCTAAGTAATGGAATATGTATTAAGTTCCTTACTGTATATGCAAGATCCCTGTCCCTGCCCCCTAATCCACTGAATAAAAGCTTCCTGTACTAACCCCACAGGAAGACAGTGCTTTGAAAGCTATCTTCCTGTCCCCTTACTTGTAACAAGTAATAAAAAGTTCTTTGCTTTCAACACTTCCTTGAATTGTGTTCAATTCAGTGCACCCCAAGTGGTGAACCTCTTGAGTTCGGTTACACCTGCACATATGTACACAATCTTGTCCTTGTTTTCAGTCTATGAGCAGCTGCTTTAAAACATATCTACCAACGAAATCTAATTCGCAAAGGAGGGAATGAGGGGTTGTTACTGGATAAATAAATGAATAAAAAAGCAGGAAAGATGTATATGAAGGGTTGTGGGTAGCCAAAAAGAGGCAGAGAGAAAGACATGCTGTGAAAACAAGGGAGTGTTGGCTCTGGTTACATAAGTGTGTATCCAAGACACAGCTCACAGAATTTTTTACTGATCTCTTGCTTCCAACTCGATTTTTATGATTGCATAAAATTCTAGTATATGGATATATTATATCTCATTAACAGTTTTCTACTACTGTATGTTATTTTTGTTTTCCCAAATTATAAACAATGAGTCTTTTAGTTTTCCCCTAATTAGGATATATTTTTAGACAGGGAATTACTGAATGACATAAGATTATTGAATATTATTCCAAAATTCCTTCTTTAAAGTTTATCTCAATTTATACTCTCACTAGCAGTATAAACATACTCAGATGGCCTACTCTTGGCCAGATTCTGTACTAATAAGGGTGTCACTCATAAAAACTGATTACCTTTAATTTTGATAGTGGTGGTGTTTGTATTACTGTCTTCTTTTATATCTTTTATTCCTTTTTACTTCATAAACTACTTGTGGTATCTGAATGGATAAAGAAGAGAAAAGCAGGAGCAAAATTGAGAATGTCTTCTTCTGCCTTCTTTTTCTTTCTTACATATTCCCTGTAGGGGAGGGAAATAATTTTCCCTCTATCCTTCTAGATTGTTGGCTGAGACTCCCCTGTGATAAAAGACTGATTAACAGAAGACAAAACAAACAGAACTTTAATAACATGTATACCTCCTATATACATGGGAGATACTCAGGAAAAGTGGCCCAAGCCACCACCTTAAATACCATCTCCAGCTAAAGACAAAAGAAGACGTTGTGGGGGAGGGTTATCACTTATGGTAATCAGGCAAAGCCCAGTAAATGAAGGTATGGTTGTTATGCAGATTTAAGTTGCTACTTTCTCCATTGATAACAGTTTCTAGAGATTTAGTCATCCCCCTCTTCTTGGTACAGAGGGGGAGACACCCTTACAAATGGAGATTTCCCTTATACATACAAATTTCCCTCACAAAGAGGCAACCTCTGCCCAGTTTCCAGAGTTTGTTCTATGTCTTTGTTTTCTTAAAAATAATCAGATTAAGATAATCCTTATGCCAAAGAGACATATTTTGGAGTGGCAAATTCTGCTCTACTTCATCCCTTTGTTTCTTAAATGGCTTTTTCTTGGCTTCATCATAACTCCGGTTATCTTTTTCATCCAAGGAAAGGAAGATACTCTGGAGCTTTCCCTTTGGGATAATCTATTGTGAGGTGTCTTTCTGGAGTATCTTTCTCCCACCTCTCTTCTCTTTCAATGCTCCTGCTCTTTGTTCTCATAGTACACTGCTCTTAACCCATTAAGTGTTGGTCAAAATGTAGGGCCACTGCTCATTTACTTTTCTGTATACACTTACACTATACATCAGACTGTAAGTTCTGTGCGAGCAGGGTCCCTGGTGTCCATTTTGATATATCCTCCACATTTAGTGGCTGTAGCAGAACCAGACTCTACATTAGATTTGTAAATCCCAACTTTCCACTCATTTTTATGGTCAAGTATAGTGTTGTATAAAATGGTTGACTTAAGCAAACTCTAAATCACTATTTGATTGAACACTGGCTCTGAAAGCAATTTTATAAAATACCAATAATTGTGCATTCATTCTGTACTACTCTCCATTTTCACTCATATCCCAGAGACAACATACCAAAGAAAAAACTGTACAATGAAAAAAATGAATCATTCATGTATGTAGCTCCCATCTTCCCCCAAATAACAGACTAAGCCTAAAAGATTGTGTTCAAAAGCTAAATTAGAAAAAAAGTCACCAAGACCATAGCCTGATTCTTCCTTGTTGATTTTGCAGGGCACAATAGCGCTTTCCTTTTTCTTTACTGTCACAAATGAATATATTCCATATCCTGTCAGACTTACTTCTGGAGACATTTGACAATACAGTTTTTGGAACTTTGCAAGCTCCTAGTAGTTTTATTGAGGAAAATTACTACTTTTCCCTCTGTAATTAAAGTTGTGGAGAGATACTTTGAAACTATGAAATGTCTTGTTCATTTCTTGACACACCAGTTTTAGCATCCATTGATAATTCTTGCCTGAAACAATATTACTCTGAATATTGAAAAGTGGAGATTTTCTAACTCCATGAACCCTTCATTATTGTTAGTTGGCACTTTGTCAGGAAGAACCTTTCTTTCTGTATTTATTTATTCATTCACTCATTCATCTGTTTATTCATTCATTCATCTGTTTATTCATTCATATTATTGTGGACTCATGAATTCCAATTTTATCTAATGGGTTATGATTCATTATTGTCACTGCTTATTTTGATGCCCAGTTTGTCCCTGATTTATCCAATGGGAGCCTCTTCATACTAGTTCCTATGTTCTTTTAATAATTCTCTATTAGATTTTGGGTACTTTGTTGCTTTACAGCAACAAAACAATATGTTTCAGGCTGATTTTGTACCTTCCCTGCCCCAGCATTGGTTCTATTTAGAGACAAATGGTGTTTAAACCAAAATATGAATGGTAGGTGGAATGAGCTGTACGTAGGTAATTCTGCAAGTAGGTATTTAATGAGAGAATATTCATGTTTATAAGATATTCATTTACATGTTTTTCCCTTGAGGATACCTGTGTGTACAAGTGGTAGACCTGGTCTCTGTGAATGGACCAATGCTCTGTGTCCAAAGTCCATTAGCCCTGAGTATCATTGGTGGTCCCCTTCTCACTACTTTTTACCAACTCGCATGACAACATCCTCAGGTT